TCTTGATCCAAGGAATTGGACTTATCCTTTCCTTAGATTAAGCCTCCCATTCCCCAAATGCTGTAAAACCCCTGTAGGTTTAGCATTTTAGCCCTGTGATAATAAAAACACTAATAATGTTGGTAGAGTTACTGACTATGTTAGGTAAAAATGACTCACGTGCAACTAATGTGACATTTTTATTGTTACAGTTGTTGCACTCGTGTCCTTTTACCTAACAATAAAATTGCTGTATAACCCTTGTGGGTTTGGCACTTAGTTCTGATTGTAATAATAATAATACAATAAAAATATCATTCCTCAAATTATTGTACTGGGTAGGAAAAGTGTAAGTGGTCAGGTATCAAAGACTTCTTATGTAATGATAAAAAAAAAAGGGTTGCCTGAGCGGTGATAGTATAAATCAGTTTGGTAAGGCTAAAGCCTAAGAGAACCTCATGATTCAGGTGCAGAACATGACAAAAAGTTTTTTGTGTTGGTTTCATGTGGCAATAGTAGCATTGTATTATGTCTGGTAAATGAAAAAAACAACACTGAATCTCTGAATTATCTTTGAGAAATTTGAAATGATTATATAATTTTGTTTTAAATTTTCCCTTTGGAGTCACAGTGCCTTGGGGGTTAAATGGCTAATTTGATAAAATAATAAAATTAATGCTTTTAATAATTCCACAACTCACGGCTGATAAGGATCTAATCCTGAATTATGTACTGATTGTTAAAAAGTTTTTGCTATTTGCAGCTGCAAGTTTACTATTTCTATGATTTTTCTGCATACTGTATTAGTAATCATTATCCTCATATTTCAGTAAGCAGACCTGCTCCAGAATGGGAAGGTACAGCTGTAATTGACGGCCAGTTTCAAGAGTTGAAACTCTTGGATTACCGTGGCAGATATCTCGTCTTCTTCTTCTACCCATTAGATTTGTGAGTTCTTGACATCATTAGCTTTTGCATACCAGGTTTTTGCTTGTGAATTACTTACCTAGTTTTTTATTATGTCTGTCATTTACACAAGGTTTCTGTTGATAGTTTTTTTTTTTTTTTGGTGCATGTTAAAAGCCAGCAAGTAGTTCCATGCATTAATAAGATTTATTTGAGAAATAATTCATAATCGCAGTTAACAAGGAAACAGCTTTTATTTGAGTCTGCTTTCAAAATTGTATAATGATACAGTATTAAAACTGAATGCTTGTCTACTCGGTGTTTAATTAAGATATACAGCTGTGTTGTGTTTCATCCACCTCATTTTTACATGAAATTTAAATACATAAAGTACAATAGTATAGTATATATTTTGAGTGTTGAGTGAATGTGAAACTAAAGGATGAAATAGAAAGAATTTATTTTCAACTTTTTAATAGATGTATACTGAGTAAGATTACTTGATGTTATTTAGTTGAAAGGAGCTTTTCATTGATTTATTAAAGATAAATGAATGCACATGTTACTGGCATTATTGTAAACATTAGTTTTAATTAGGGAAATTCTGAGACTGAATTAGACTGCAGTATGTAAGTTATCAGTTTCTCAATAAGTTTTTTTTGTAACTGTCCATTTGGCTTTTCAGTACCTTTGTGTGTCCGACAGAGATTTTAGCGTTTAATGACAGAGTGGAAGAGTTTCGGAAGTTAAACACTGAAGTAGTAGCTTGTTCGATTGACTCTCACTTTACCCATCTTGCGTGGACTAACACGGCACGTAAGGTATGTTTAACTATGTACGAAGTTGTCTGCACTGAGAATATATATTAATGCTGTAGTATTTTAAATTTGCCAGTATTATAAATTAATTTTAAGAAAATTTTAAGGTAAAAAGATGAGAACTGTATGGAAATAGAGTACTGTAATAAAAAAAAATATATATATATGTATATATATTTTTTAGCAAATTGCCTGTCATCCATTCAGACAGGGTGACCTGAAAAAGAAACACTTTCAGAAAGTTTTCTTTTAACATTGAGTAATTTATTCTTGACGTGCTGTTGGAGTGTGAGCAAAGTAACATTTATGAAGGGGTTCAGGGAAACCGGCAGGCCGGACTTGAGTCCTAGAGATGGGAAGTACAGCGCCTGCACTCTGAAGGAGGGGTGTTAATGTTGCAGTTTAAAAACTGTAGTGTAAAGCACCCTTCTGGCAAGACAGTGATGGAGTGAATGATGGTGAAAGTTTTTCTTTTTCGGGCCACCCTGCCTTGGTGGGAATCGGCCAGTTTGTTAATAATAAAAAATAATAATAATTTATACAAGAGATGGGGTTACTAGACCCTTGCTCCTGGCATTTTAGTTGTCTCTTTCTACATGCTTGATTTAATTAAGGATTATTCTCCACTTCCCGACTGAGGTGTTAATAAGTTTAGAATTTTGAATTTATATTTTGTGTTTGATTAGTTCTGTCAGACACTTCAACTGATATGGGCAATATAGTCCTTAATTAAGTTTTTGCCTATATTTGCTACCTTTTTCTCTGTACAGAGGACCCACATGTGTCAATCCTTGAGCATCTTCTCTTCTTTCAAAAGCATTAAATAAATGCAGCAGCCATGCCAACACTTTATCCATGTCTGCTTTCAACATTGCCTTAATATGTACTTAATTCTTTTGCGAACTGACTTTCTTGGTGCTTCACTAACTTTATTCCAACTCCTGGCTTTTTTTTCATGGAAAGTTGCTGAAAATGTCACATAATATTTGTAAATATTCCACATAGTGATAGTTTAGGCAGCTTCTAAAGCATGTTAAGGCATGACTGTTTTTTCCAAGTACATATACTGGATGTCCATGGGATAGTGGAGAAGAAGCCTTCCTCTGTAAGCCATTCATGTCATAGGAGGCAACTGAAATGCCAGAAGCAAGGGGGTTAGTAACCCCTTTCTGTATAAATTACTAAATGAAACATACAGGAGAAACTTTACGTTTTTTTTGGGGGGTCACCCTTCCTCGGTGGGAGACGGCCTTAACTTATAGCTGTTTTCAAGAACAGAAGGCAAATGTTCCTTAATACCTTTCGGGAGCTATACAGGTTACACTTAAATTTTGTACCCCAAAAAAAGAAAAAAAATTGACTTTTTCCCTATGATATCCTAAACATGATTCACTATGACTTTTGATAAGCAGTTAAAGGCACCTGAAATCTTTGGAAAGATATACAGTGGACCCTCGACCAACGATGGCATCGATTAACAATAAATCCGACTAGCGATACATTTTAACGCAAAATTTTTCCCTCGACTAGCGCTAAAAAACTCGACCAACACTATTAGTTCCGTCTGAGACGCGTCCACTTCTGGCCAGTGTTTACAAGCCAGCCAGCCACCGCAGTCACTTCCAAGCATACAATCGGAACATTTCATATTATCACAGCCTTTTTAGTGATTGCACCTGCAAAATAAGTCACCATGGGCCCCAAGAAAACTTCTAGTGCCAACCCTACAGCAAAAAGGGTGAGAATTACTATGGATATGAAGAAAGAGATCATTGCTAAGTATGAAAGTGGAGTGCGTGTCTCCGAGCTGGCCAGGTTGTACACAAAACCCCAATCAACCATCGCTACTATTGTGGAAGCTGTTCTTGCCAAAGGTGCAACTATGTTTTCGAAACTGAGATCGCAAGTACTCGAAGATGTTGAGAGACTGTTATTGGTGTGGGTAAACGAAAAACAGATAGCAGGAGATAGCATCTCTCAAGCGATCATATGTGAAAAGGCTAGGAAGTTGCATGACGATTTAATTAAAAAAATGCCAGCAACTAGTGGTGATGTGAGTGAATTTAAGGCCAGCAAAGGTTGGTTTGAGAGATTTAAAGGGAAGAGAAGTAACCCCGGAAAAGGACTTGCCACCTCAAGTCCTAATGGAAGGGGATTCCCCTTCTAAACACTAAGACCATCAACACTCCCCTCCTCCCACCCCATCAATCATCACCAGATCTTCAACAAAGGTAAGTGTCATGTAACTGTGCATGTCTTCTTCAGTTTGTGTGTATTAAAATTAATATTTCATGTGGTAAAAACAATTTTTTTTCATACTTTGGGGTGTCCTACACGGATTAATTTGACTTCCATTATTTCTTATGGGGAAAATTAACTTGACTAACGATAATTTTGACTAACGATGAGCTCTCAGGAACGGATTAATAGCGTTAGTCGAGGGTCCACTGTACTGTATAAGGGCCATTCCTGTCAAAGGAAGTGAGATTCTTTAGAGAAGAGTGAAGCTTGTTATTTAAGATAATATTTTGTATTTGCTAATTGCATTTATATTTTTTCTAATTTAGTTAAACATAAAATTAATTTTGAATCATTACAGGATGGTGGATTGGGCAAGTTGAAGATACCTTTGCTTTCTGATATCACACACAAGATTTCAAAAGATTACGGTGTTTACCTAGAAGATCAAGGAATAGCTCTCAGGTATGTCTGTATAACATACATTTTAAATTACAATTTCTGTTGGCTGAATATCTTTTGTAAATTTATATTTATGACAATGGTACACAATACTGATAAGTTTTAAAGTTATTTCCCGTTAGTTATTTTTGGTTTTCCTTATTCTGTCACTGAGGCTAATATGGATGAATTCTTCATAGTGTGGTATTACAATTTAGAGGAAAGTAAAAACCAAGAAAATTTTATGTTAGTTTTGGGATACATTATCTGTATTTATAGAGATATTTTATGGTTTTCATTAAGTGTTTACTAATTTTTTTATATGGTCTGTACTTAATAAATATAGAATATTAAAGGAGCATCTGAACCTTTCCTTTCAGGGACTAGGGTTAAAAATGTTTTGTCTGTCAACTTTATACTCAAAACTGCCAGTAGCCATAGCTCGATTGCTGATGCACTCATCTCGCACACTGAGGTGCATGGTTCGATCCCCAGTACTGGTGGAAACACTAGGATGTGTTTCCTTAAGGCACCTGCTGTCCCTGTTCACCTAGCAGTAAAATAGGCACTTGAGTGTTAGCCAATTGATGTGGGTCACATCCTGGGGACAAAATTGACCTAATTTGCTCGAAATGTTCTGTATAACAATTGGCTTTCTATATACTGTAGTAGAATGTCATTGATGTCTGCTAGACCTGTATATGTTGTACATGTATTTGTTGAAATATAAATTATTATTATTTTATTTTTCAACGAACTGGAGGTATCCCACCAAGGCAGGGTGACCTGAATTAAAAATGAAAGTTTTTCTTTTTAAATTTAGTAACGTATACAGGAGAATGGGTTACTAGCCCCCCTTGGTCCTGGCATTTTAGTCGCCTCTTACAACACGCATGGCTTATGGAGGAAGAATTCTTTTCCACATCCCCATGGAGGTAGGTGGAAATAAAGAACAAAAACTATTAAGAAAATAATAGAAAACCTAGATGGGTGTGTACTATATATATATGTATGTACATGCATGTGTAGTGTGAGATAAGTGTAAGTACATTAATTATATGACTCATGACCTCTTACAATCAATACTAAATACTAGACTATAAAATGTCAGTTGTTTATTTTTGTAATCTCAGTTTTTATTTTTCACAGCCAGCACTGTATGACCTTTATGGGTTTAGCACTGAGAATAATTATATTAAAATTATTATTTTCTAATGTTGTGCCTAAAACATGAGTTTTAATGTTAATCTTTGCTTTTTTAGCATTATTTATTAAGTCACTTTTTATTTGCAGGGGTCTGTTCATTATTGATGACAAAGGTGTATTACGTCAGATAACCATGAATGATCTGCCTGTTGGACGATCTGTGGATGAAACTCTCCGTCTAGTGCAGGCTTTCCAGTTTACCGATGAACATGGGGAAGTTTGTCCTGCTGGCTGGAAACCTGGTGATGATACAGTAAGTTTTCATGAATTTGCTTTCACTGTATGTATGTATTATATATTTTATATATGTTGTATCTGAGCACCTCTGCAAAGACAATGATTATGTATAAGTGATGAATGATGATGAAATTTTTTTTCTTTCTTTTTGGATTTTTCTTTCTTTTTGGGCTTTTCTTTATTTTTGGGTCACCCTGCCTCGGTGGGAAATGGGCAACATGTTAAAAAAAAAAAGGTGTGCCAAATGTTTTCATCCTGAGGGTAAAGGGGCACAGATATTTGTTTTGGGTTAGGTTGAGTGTGTGTGTGTGACCTGGCAGGTTTACATTTCATTCAATATAAACTGTCATATCTGTCATATGTGAGCTCCTCTGCAAAGACATTGATTATGTGAGAATGATGATGGTGAAAGTGTTTCTTTTTTGGGTCATCCTGCATTGGTGGGAGACAGCTGATGTGTTGAAAAGGAAAAAAAAAGAACAAAAGTTTGGTGATGTCCATATCAAGTCATAACGTAATTGATATCTCAGCTTTTCACAAAACTAAACTGTGGCTAGTAAGGTATTTGAGGGGTGACTTACAAAACAGATGGATTTAAATCCATAGTAAGCTAGTTTTACAACTGGTAGGTCAGTACACTAACTTAATAAGCTATATGGTATAGTGAGTAGTGTAATGGCCTGCAAATTTTAATACTTGCTTACCATTAGTTCAAATTCCATTTGTCAGGTCTTGCTGCCTTTAATTTATTAAGCTCCTTTGTGAATTTTGTTTCTTTGTTCATATTAATATTGGTTCGTTTCATTACGCTTGTCCTCCTTCATACTCTGATTTAACTGTTCAAATGTTTTGAATCATGTTAATTTGATAACCTGTATATTAATGCCCTTTTTTTTTCAGATCATTCCTAATCCTCATGAGAAATTGAAGTATTTTAAGAAGGCAAACCAGTAGTGATGAATCTTCAAGGCGGCAGTAGCATGCGATGATTGTTTCCTGAGAAGAAAAAAGATGTTTTGTCTTTTCCTTCCTAATAGGACAAAGTTGACTACAGAGAGATGTTACAAATAAGATAATTATGAATGGAGGCACACATTAGTTGAGCTCTAATTAAGCCAACATGACAAACTAGATACCTTACTGTATTATTGTAGTACATAGTAGTGAAATACCTCGGAGTATTGAAGTATGGGGTAGTGATTTGTACTTTCCAGTACAGTGTCAGGTCAGGATAAATTGTGTTACTGGAAAAATATGGACTGTGAAGGTTTATGGTGCTTTATTAGGATTTAATGAAGGTGACAGTAATAGCCATGAATGATCCCATACTAGTTAAGTGTTAAATTTATGAATATTATAATATTGATATTAATATTTTGCATTTTAATGGGATGTATGGATGGACAACAAATTTCCAGTCACAGGTTGGAACGATGAAGATACAAACCTTAGCTTCTCAAGGACTATCTTAACCCTTAAACTGTCCAAATGTAGATCTATGTTTATGCACATAGCGCTCTGACCTTGATTTTTCCCATTTGTAAGCATGTAAAAAATGTAGGTCTACGTTAGGAGCGCTACGCGAGCGAACGTAGATCTACATCTGGACAGTTTAGGGGTTAATAAGTTAAAGTCCTAGGTAAAAAATGAATTGAATGGTAAGAAATCTTATGCTATTAATATATTATATCCCAGAATAATGTTGTAAGAAAAATTCCACTTTTGCTGTTTTATTATGCAGAACCCAATTTTTTTATTAGTGGGATATCATTATTAATAACAATTGCTAATAGCAAAAAATCTGAAATTTTCCCCACTGCTTGTTAGCGGTACTGTAACAGTATAGTACAAAATGTATAGGAAATGTACTTTTTGGATGTTACAAATTCAAGATTGTCTAATTCATCTCACATTACTGTTCTCAAAAGTTATACTGTATGTCTAATGCCTTTATGGAAGACTTGGTTTACCATTTTATATTTTTGTTCTAATGATATTTGTCTTCCATTATGTTTAGCAATTTTATATTGCCAAATGTAAATGAAAATATTGAATGGTTTGTGTGTATAGCTTGCTGTTAAAAGGTGAAGGTCAACTACAAGTTTGGTGTGTTATTGAAATGAGAATAAAATTCTCCTATATCCATATTTACAATATTTTAACGTATGATGCTTGATGTGATAATAATTTGAATTTTCAGTCAGACTTATTACAATAATACAATAAACATGCACTGTTCAGGATGGTAACAATGCTGGGTAACACTTTTACTCTGTATAGTGTATTGCTTATTGATAATTTCTCATGGATCAAGCAGAAGTTTGTTTTTTTTTTTTTTTTTTTTTTTCAACAAGTCGGCCGTCTCCCACCGAGGCAGGGTGACCCAAAAAAGAAAGAAAATCCCCAAAAAGAAAATACTTTCATCATCATTCAACACTTTCACCACACTCGCACATTATCACTGTTTTTGCAGAGGTGCTCAGAATACAACAGTCTAGAAGCATACACATATGAAGATACACAACATATCCCAGAAGTTTGTATGAAGTTTAATACTCAAATTGGAAATTTACTTTTTGTTGTAAAATGAAGTTTGAATATGTGCTGATTATACAAAAAGTGGATGAAATCAGATAGTATTATGAATATTAGGAGTGCAGTAATAAATTTTAATTATTTTATAATATGGTTTAGGTCTGAATTTTGCATTATTATACTTGATTCTAGCACTGAAATAAAAGTTTACTTTAAGTTTAAGTTTATTTTTTTTCTTTCCCATGCATGAAATGGATTACTAGTTTTAATATGATCACCTTATTTAGTTTCATTAGAAGAATAAACTAAAAAAAATAAAGGATTAGAACCTTGTGGTATTTTTTTTTTTTTTTTTCAACAAACCGGCCATATCCCACCAAGGCAGGGTGGCCCAAAAAGAAAAATGAAAGTTTCTCTTTTTAAATTTAGTAATACATGTATATACAGGAGAAGGGGTTACTAGCCCCTTGCTTCCGGCATTTTAGTCGCCTCTTACAACACGCATGGCTTACAGAGGAAGAATTCTGTTCCACTTCCCCATGGAGGTAAGGGGAAATAAACAAGAACAAGAACTAGAAAGAAAATAGAAGAAAACCCAGAGGGGTGTGTATATATATGTTTGTACATGTATGTGTAGTGTGACCTAAGTGTAAGTAGAAGTAGTAAGCCTTACCTGAAATCTTGCATGTGTATGAGACAGAAAAAAAAGACACCAGCAATCCTACCATCGTGTAAAACAATTACAGGCTTCCGTTTTACACTCACTTGGCAGAACGGTAGTACCTCCCTGGGTGGTTGCTGTCTACCAACCTACTACCTAGGACTTGTAGTATTATTATTGTTATTTCTGTTGGGTCACACAGTGTGTGTGAGCACTATATATGTATGTATAGAGTTTTACACAAATTATTTTTTTTTATTAACACATCGGCCGTTTCCCACCAAGGCAGGATGGCCTGAAAAAGAAAAACTCATCATTCACTCCATCACTGTATTGCCAGAGGCATACTTACACTACAGTTATAAAATTGCAACAGTAACACCCCTCCTTCAGAGTTCCGGCACTACTTCCCATCTTCAGGAATCAAGTCCGGCCTGCCGGCTTTCTTGAAACCCTTCATAAATGTTACCTTGCTTACACTCCAACAGCATGTCAAGTGCTAAAAACTATTTGTCTCTATTTGCTCCTATCTAACATACTCACACTTGCTGGGAGTCCAAGCCCCTTGCACACAAAACGTCCTTTACCCCTTCCCTCCAACCTTTCCTAGGCCGACCCCTACCCCACCTTCTCTCCGCTGCAGATTTATACATTCTTGAAGTCATTCTATTTCGTTTCAACCTCTCTACATCTCCAAACCATCTCAATAACCCTTCCTTAGCCTTCTGGATAATAGTTTTGGTAATCCCCACCTCCTAATCTCCTAACTACGGATTCTCTGCATTATATTCACACCATACATTGCCCCAAGACATGACATCTCCACTGCCTTCAGCCTTCTCCTTTTTGCAACATTCACCATCCATGCCTCACACCCATACAAGAGTGCTGGTATAACTATACTCTCATACATTCCCCTCTTTGCTTTCATGGATAAAGTTCTTTGTCTCCACAGACTCCTCAGTGCACCACTCACCTTTTTTCCCCTCTTCAATTCTATGATTCACCTCATCTTTCACAGACCCATCTGCTGACACATCCACTCTCAAATATCTGAATACATTCACCTCCATACTCTCTCCCTCCAATCTGATATCCAATCTTCCCTTACCTAATTTTTTTGTTATCCTCATCACCTTACTCTTTCCTATATTCACTTTTAATTTCCTTCTTTTACATGCCCTACCAAACTCATCAACCAACCTCTGCAACTTCTCTTCAGAATGCCCCAAAAGCACAGTGTCATCAGCAAAGAGCAACTGTGACAACTCCCATTTAGTGTTAGCCCCACACCTCTTGCCAACACTCGATTAAATTATGCCATTTAATTGATATGCCTTCAGAGATATTCTTTCAAATTTTGCTCCTTTCTGTGAGACTTGTGGTGTGCCAGCGATGGCAAAATCTTTAAGATTTTAACCAGGATGTGAGATGGAATGATTGCAAGTGAAGATATGATCTTTATTTCAAGGGCTTGATCTCTTCATGGTGGAGGGGGAACTGGATGCTGGTAAAGGGCTATTGATCCAAGGAATTGAAGCTGCTCTCCAATTGGATTAAACCTAATTGCCTCAATTCACCAGACGTTGTTTAACCTCTATAGGTTTAGTGCTTCCCCATATATATAATAATGTATAATCCCTACAACTAAGGGCTTTCCCATGAATATAATGTAATCGTTGAGGGCTTGATTGATCAGTCATTGTTTTCAGCACATATTAACTTGCCTTTGCTATGGCTAATGAAACACAGGATAGTTTTCTAATTAATCTTGCAGAAACTAGCCTTCAAGGGAACTCCTTGTTGTGATGGGCGTTTCATACAAGGATTCTAGAGGGTGTTTATCTTTCCTCATATTGATCCTGGATACCACATCTCTTTTGGCATGAAAAGTAGCATTGTTTCTTTTCCTGAAAAATCTGATATGACTTGCAGCTTTTGACCTTTCAGGGAAATTGTCTTGTTGCTAGTGAGAGGATGCTGATACAAAGCCTTAGAACTACCCTTCATTTCTATGGACTGATTCTGAATGTCTCTCATTTCCTTACTTCATGATTCCTATGGATAATGCCTGTTTTGAATACAGTAATAAGAATTATCCTGGGTTATGTTGTTTTTCCCCAGATTTCAGTGATAATATAAGACCCCTATGGGTTTAATACTTTCCCCAGATTAAAATAAAGTTATAGCCTCTGACTTGGCTCGGGCTATGGCGAGTGGATTTCTACTTGGGCTAATGGTGCCATTGTAGCTAATAGTACATTTACTGATGTTGCTACTGATATTGCAGTTACTGCTGATGTTGCTACTGATGGTGTAGTTACTTCAGGACATTTATTATAGGAACCGTTTCGTCACGAGTGGTTTCTTCAGTCCTAATACAGAGATAACTAAGAAATGTTTCCTATAATAAATGTCCTGTACTGTACATGAGTGTCTTTTTTCCACATCTTGTAGGTTTCACCATACCATTTCTCAGTCACTGTTGATGTTGCTACTAATAATGCTGTTACTGCTGATGTTTCTACCACTGCAGTTACTGTTGACATCGCTGCTTATACTGCAGTTATTGCGGCTCTTGTAATGCTATACCATGCAGAGTTCTTTCTAATGGGCCTGTCCTTAAAAGCAGACTCTGCTTCTGATTTACAATATCTCCTGTAACCATATCCCTTCCCTCGTTTTCTCTCTGCTGATGTCCGTTCAACACCCAGCCCGTCAAGGGACCAAACTTTGTGCCCTAACTCGTGCAATAACTTAAGTGACTTTTACCAAGGCCAGGGTTTCCCAACACCAGATAAAAAACACTTAAAATAGTAGTGGGGCAAATGCTATCTGTGACTCACTTTTTATCCGCTGTTGTCTGAAACATCAAATTTGGATACAGTAAATAATTTTTTACGCTATTTTGTAATTCTTGTTGCAACTTGACGAACCTTACCTAACCTAACCTTTACAATTGTTGCTCTCTTGCTTTATGCATCATTTATTTTATTATTATTATTGTTTTTAAACACACTGGCTGTTTTCCACCAAGGCAGCGTGGCCCAATAAAGAAGAAACACTTTCACCATCACTCACTCCAAGCCTGTCTTGTCCAATAAAGAGACAAGCTTCACTGATCTAGAGAGTGATTTGAGTAAGGATACCAAGTGTGGTAGAGGTCAGGAGAGATTCATCTTGGGATTTTATACTGAGAAACCAAATGATTGTCCAGATCTGCCAGCTGTTGTGGGTGGCATCAAGGTAGAAATTGCTGATGTCAGAATCTCCATTCCGGCTGGAAGTCACAGTTCAGACAAAATAACATTATGGAAAATGACTTCACATCTGGGGAAATAATGAAGTGAGGGGTTTAAAAGTCTTTGCAAACTATGGTATATGTAAAGATATTTATTAAAATATAGGAGATAATAAAAAAGCACAAATTTGAAACCTATGACTGAAATTTATGACGATGTTTCTGTCCAACTTAGACATTAACTAGTATTTTAATTAAAATTTATACTGATTTGCCAAGACATCGATAGGGACCAGAGGAGTGTACAGTTCTAGTGTACTGGTCGCAAGATCTGTGGCGTACTGGCAAGTGTAACAACTCAGTCCAGGATGTACTGGTGTACTCTTACGAAGAACGATTCTGTAGTAATTTATATGTGTAAAAAATGTCATACTTGAACACAATATAATATGACTGCAGTTCGAAGTAGTGAGACAACTGCAATATGAGGTGGCAGGGGGTACAATTTTGGTTCGCAGTTCCTAGGGAAAGTTACTGAAAGTTATTGTGAAGCCAGACTAAGCTGAGAGTCAAGTCCGTGAGTCAGCTTGAGTAGCAACCTTGAGAAGGGCACACCTGGAGTGGAGAAGAACTATCAGCCTCATTGCGATAGCTTGTCCAGTATCTCTAGTCTTATCTCCACTTCTGAAGACATGCTTAAAGAAAACCATCGACCATTGCCAGAGTGCAGTGCAGTTAGTCTATGCTGAGACTGAAAGGGAAGGATATGGGATAAAGGGATGTGGGATAAAGGAGGAATTAGGATTATTGCTTTAGCAGAGAAAAGAACAAAAAGAGGATGAATGAAGAATGAAGAAAGGAGTAGGTGAAATCAAGAATGAGTAAAAGAAGAGAGATGGCAAGTTGTGTAGAAAAAAGATCTATAAGATAACAAGTAAAGAAGAAAGAGAAGAAGCAGTGGGAGGAAATACTGATGAACGAATGTGAGAGACAGAGCACAGAATACATCAGTAAGAAGGGAAGTAAGAAGGAAGAAAAATGGAAAGAGGCAGATTCCCGTCATTATTATCCAAGCGCAGTCTTCTAGTTTGATGTTTTCATATATTCTGAGTCAAATAACACACATTTCTCTGACCCCTGACCTTCCTAGCTCAGTTATTTTCTGGTCTTGGTTTCCTTCAAACTCATTATGTCCTTTCTTTAATTAGACGAATATTAATTGAAGATTAAACTCACTTCGAAATCAGGAACCGGATAATAAAAACTAGGTCCTGTATAATCCCTACGGGTTTAACGCTCCCCATGATAATAATAATAATAATAATAATAATAATAATAATAATAATAATAATAATAATAATAATAATAATAATAATTCAATCTGCCGTAAACTGCTATAGCAAGTTGTCAATGAGCAGGGGCAAGGTGTTTACCTGGAGTTTACCTGTAAGTTAATATGAGAACAGCACACACACACACACACACACACACACACACACAAGTGCAAAGGTTTGCAACAAGACTAGTCCCAGAGCTACGGGGATTGTCCTACGAAGAAAGGTTGAGGGAAATCGGCCTGACGACACTGGAGGACAGGAGGGTCAGGGGAGACATGATAACGACATATAAAATACTGCGCAGAATAGACAAGGTGGACAAAGACAGGATGTTCCAGAGATGGGACACAGACACAAGAGGTCACAATTGGAAGTTGAAGACTCAGATGAATCAAAGGGATGTTAGGAAGTATTTCTTCAGTCATAGAGTAGTCAGGCCGTAGAATGGCCTAGAAAGTGACGTAGTGGAGGCGGGAACTATACATAGTTTTAAGGCGAGGTATGATAAAGCTCATGGGGCAGGGAGAGAGAGGACCTAGTAGCAATCAGCGAAGAGGCGGGGCCAGGAGCTATGAATCGACCCCTGCAACCGCAAATAGGTGAGTACAAACAGGTGAGTACACAGGAGCTGTGAATCGACCCCTGCAACCACAACTAGGTGAGTGCACATATGTGTTTGTGTGTGTGTGGATAATACAACCAATTTATTTGAAATAAATTTCTGCAATACTCTTATAATAACACCGTATCTGAGGGCTGAAGACGAGTTAGTGAACAACAGTACCTGATGTAAACTGACGTATCAGCTGAATTTTTTACATTTGTGACCTCAGCTGTGTAAGCTGGAGATAAGATACTGTAATGTATGTCTCTGGAGAAGTTTACGTAAGTTTGACTCTAGGTGTAGAGGAAGCTATACACACCCTTATCTCTCCTCACCTCTGCTGCGTCTTGTGAGATGCTGATGTATCTTGTAAGATGTTGACGCATCTCGTAAGATGTTGCTGCATCTTGGGAGATGTTGATTATTAATATTATTATAATTATGGAGGGGCGCTAAACCCGTAGGGTTATACAGCGCATGTGGGGGGGGGGATGGAAGGTATTCGGGCTCAATTCAGGGAACTGGAGCACAGATCCAATTCCTTAAATTAAGAGCCCCTCACCAGCGTCAAAGAACCTCCCTTGAGGGGGTGAGATGTTGATGCATCTTGTAAGATGTTTCTGCACCTTGTGAGATGTTTAACTCTACTGTGCTGTTTCTACTGCTTTCAAGTGGAAACAGAGACACAAATGCCATCTAATGACTCGGAAAAAAGCCCACTGTTTGGGGGTAACGTTGTCAATAATGGATCTCATTCCAGAGCACATGTGTCTGTTTTCATCGTCACGAGATTTTGCAATGTTTCTCACCACTAATTAAACACCTGAGTGCTTGGATGTACAGGTGTTCATAGTGATGTTTTGATGAAACGATGAGCAATGCTGTTGACTAATTAATTTAAAAACTCTTCTACATCAAATTAATGTGCTCTTCACTGCTCTTCAGGAGAAGAGTTTGGAGAAGAATTCTCTCTGCTGCCGAGTAATAATAATAATAATAATAATAATAATAATAATAATAATAATAATAATAATAATAATAATAATAATAATAATAATAATAATAATAATATGTAGAGAGAATGGAGCGAAACAGAATGGCTTCAAGAGTGTATAATCTGTAGTGGAAGGAAGGCGGGGTAGGGGTCGGCCTAGGAAAGGTTGGAGAGAGGGGGTAAAGGAGGTTTTGTGTGCGAGGGGCTTGGACTTCCAGCGGGCATGCGTGAGCGTGTTTGATAGGAGCGAATGGAGACAAATGGTTTTTAATACTTGACGTGCTGTTGGAGTGTGAGCAAAGTAACATTTATGAAGGGATTCAGGGAAACCGGCAGGCCGGACTTGAGTCCTGGAGATGGGAAGTACAGTGCCTGCACTCTGAAGGAGGGGTGTTAATGTTGCAGTTTAAAAACTGTAGTGTAAAGCACCCTTCTGGCAAGACAGTGATGGAGTGAATGATGGTGAGTGTTTTTCTTTTTCGGGCCACCCTGCCTTGGTGGGAATCGGCCAGTGTGATAATAAAAAAATAATATAAAAATATCAAAGTATACAGACCTAGCAAGCTAACATCAGTGACATACTATATAAAATGTCCCTGGTTAAGCAGAGCATTTCGGGTAATTTAGGTTAATTTTGTCCCCAGGATGCAGCCCACACCAGTCGACTAACACCCAGGTAACACCGGGGACAGCAGGTGTCTTAAGGAAACACCCGTATGAGTTCTTTCCGTTGACCTTCACTTGAAAAGTTCTCCAGCTCTATTTATTGGGGTAAGGTTTTCATCACCCATTAAGGGGGGGGGGGGGGTGTGGGGAAGGGGGACGTTATCAGGGGGCTTCAAGTGGTTGTTGAAACAAGAGGAGTAACACGGGGGGACTCTACAGTGGTGTGTGGAACATGAACAAGATGGGTGGTAGAGCGAGGGTGGCTCTCTGGATCCTGTTGGGGGTTGTTCTTGTGGCCCCACCAGGCCTCAGAGCTCTCATTGATGACGAAACTCAAGCTGAGGAATTTATGAAGGAACTCGACTATAGGTAAGTGAGAGCTGTAAATGGTATAGATGACATTGCTAAACTTTTGCAGTGTTTGTGTGTAGTGATGGAGGACTGGCACAGGCATCCAGTTGTGCTCATAATGTGGCTGAATATAAAGTAACGTCTTTTACGACCTTAAACTTGAAACTTGCACAGATAACATCTCTTAGGACTGTACTCACCTAGTTATACTCACTTAGTTGTGGTTGCAGGGGTCGATTCATAGCTCCTGGCCCCGCCTCTTCACTGGCCGCTACTAAATAATGATAACAAGAAAGGCACTCCAATAGGTCAAGGAATACCTAATGGGAAGGAAACAGAGTGAGGATCCGTTAATAAGTACTGGATAGACTAGTGTAAACAAATGGAGTTCCACATTTATGAGAGCTACAAGGGTTTGGATACACTACAAGAGAATTTTTTTTTTCGATCTGCACGTTTCATCCTCTGAATATCTACTGTTTTGTAACGATGTCTTCTTTGATATTTTTAATCTTCTTTACGGAAGGTTGTTAGGTTATGCACAATGTTTTCAGCTCTTGTAGTAGACTCCTTTTAAAACCGTTGGATCTCTTAGTTTCTAAACGTGCTTGCCAAGGAACTGGCTCTATGTAAGCTCTGCATACTCTACAATAGGCCTGATATATTAAATTTCGCCAGCTTCGCAGAAGCTGCAACTTGTACGTGCTTTGAATGCATCTCTGGTGATATATTCGGCGTGATGTTCACTTTCAGATCTTTCATATTGTGCCACATTTCTTCTTCCTAACTTTCCAGGCAGCAATCGTTCGTTTCTCTCTTCCCTTTCTGGAATTTTAGGATCGTACACATTGTTTCGGCTGAACTCTCGTGGCTACCTGTGTGGTCAACCACATAGTCTGTTAATGTCTTACAGCATCCACTCCTCTGAGGTGGGTTATTGACAGGAATAAGAGGAACTGTCCTAATACTTACTCTTGGGAGCCATATTTGTTGAGCTTTCCTATCCTGGTATAACTTTCCTATTCTGGTATATTTTTTCTATCCTGGTATATCTTTCTTTAACACTGTCTTGGGCTCAGATATTCGCTGATCAACTTGTACTTCTGCCTCGGCTAAACAACAAGAAGAAAAGATGACATAAGTGATGAAATCCCTCTAAAAAACTGTAAACAAAATTCAATACTAGATTGGCTTATTATAACTGTTTGCGTCAGTTATTATCTTGTGTCTGCTGTTTCATATAATTGTTATCAGACAATCATCCTGCTAACTACTGGGAGCGACTCTTAACAATTTATAACAAAATGCTAATTTTCTCGATGGTAACTGTTTGCTTCCACTAAATCTTCGCAGGTTAATTTTAAGTGGCAATGGCGAAGAATCTAATTTTTTCGACCTTTCAATGGGTGTGATTTGGTGCTGGTGAAGGGTTTTTGATCCAAGGAATATTGGCTACCCGTACCTTCCTTAGATCAGGCCTGATTGCCACCCATATCAGAGGTTCTGTCTGACCACTACGGTCAAACAGTATTTAGGATTTTTAGAAATACATGAGATCAGTGGTAATGACAAGAAAGGTCGTGATAAAGCTATACCAGCCAGTTGAACATTATGAAATTGTTTAGTGTATGTGTGTGTACTCACCTGTTTGTGGTTGGAGGGGTCGATTCACAGCTCCTGGCCCAGCCTCTTCCCTGGTCGCTACAAGGTCCACTCACTCCCTGCCCCGCGAGCTTTATTATGTGTGTGTGTGTGTGTGTTGTTGTTGTTGTTGTGTGTGTGTGTGTGTGTGTGTGTGTGTGTGTTGTGTACTCACCTAGTTGTACTCACCTAGTTGAGGTTGCGGGGGTCGAGTCCGAGCTCCTGGCCCCGCCTCTTCACTGATCGCTACTAGGTCACTCTCCCTGAGCCGTGAGCTTTATCATACCTCTGCTTAAAGCTATGTATGGATCCTGCCTCCACTACATCGCTTCCCAAACTATTCCACTTACTGACTACTCTGTGGCTGAAGAAATACTTCCTAACATCCCTGTGATTCATCTGTGTCTTTAGCTTCCAACTGTGTCCCCTTGTTACTGTGTCCAATCTCTGGAACATCCTGTCTTTGTCCACCTTGTCAATTCCTCTCAGTATTTTGTATGTTGTTATCATGTCCCCCCTATCTCTCCTGTCCTCCAGTGTCGTCAGGTTGATTTCCCTTAACCTCTCCTCGTAGGACATACCTCTTAGCTCTGGGACTAGTCTTGTTGCAAACCTTTGCACTTTCTCTAGTTTCTTTACGTGCTTGGCTAGGTGTGGGTTCCAAACTGGTGCCGCATACTCCAATATGGGCCTAACGTATACGGTGTACAGGGTCCTGAACGATTCCTTATTAAGATGTCGGAATGCTGTTCTGAGGTTTGCTAGGCGCCCATATGCTGCAGCAGTTATTTGGTTGATGTGCGCTTCAGGAGATGTGCCTGGTGTTATACTCACCCCAAGATCTTTTTCCTTGAGTGAGGTTTGTAGTCTCTGACCCCCTAGACTGTACTCCGTCTGCGGCCTTCTTTGCCCTTCCCCAATCTTCATGACTTTGCACTTGGTGGGATTGAACTCCAGGAGCCAATTGCTGGACCAGTTCTGCAGCCTGTCCAGATCCCTTTGTAGTTCTGCCTGGTCTTCGATCGAGTGTATTCTTCTCATCAACTTCACGTCATCTGCAAACAGGGACACCTCAGAGTCTATTCCTTCCGTCATGTCGTTCACAAATACCAGAAACAGCACTGGTCCTAGGACTGACCCCTGCGGGACCCCGCTGGTCACAGGTGCCCACTCTGACACCTCGCCACGTACCATGACTCGCTGCTGTCTTCCTGACAAGTATTCCCTGATCCATTGTAGTGCCTTCCCTGTTATCCCTGCTTGGTCCTCCAGTTTTTGCACCAATCTCTTGTGTGGAACTGTGTCAAACGCCTTCTTGCAGTCCAAGAAAATGCAATCCACCCACCCCTCTCTCTCTTGTCTTACTGCTGTCACCATGTCATAGAACTCCAGTAGGTTTGTGACACAGGATTTCCCGTCCCTGAAACCATGCTGGCTGCTGTTGATGAGATCATTCCTTTCTAGGTGTTCCACCACTCTTCTCCTGATAATCTTCTCCATGATTTTGCATACTATACATGTCAGTGACACTGGTCTGTAGTTTAATGCTTCATGTCTGTCTCCTTTTTTAAAGATTGGGACTACATTTGCTGTCTTCCATGCCTCAGGCAATCTCCCTGTTTCGATAGATGTATTGAATATTGTTGTTAGGGGTACACATAGCGCCTCTGCTCCCTCTCTCAATACCCATGGGGAGATGTTATCTGGCCCCATTGCCTTTGAGGTATCTAGCTCACTCAGAAGCCTCTTCACTTCTTCCTCGGTTGTGTGCACTGTGTCCAGCACTTGGTGGTGTGTGTGTGTGTGTGTGTGTCTGTGTCTGTGTGTGTTTAAAATTCCTGTGTTCAAAATAACTTAATTATATATAAAATTATTCACTGCTTAAAATCAGGGCACAGAAACAAGCGCAGTTAGGTTAGGGTTCAGTGCGATGTGTTTGTCACTGATAAGCGTAGTATTAATAACAGTAACTCAACCTCTGTCCCAATCACATTTCCAAACGTCAAAATAAAAAAAAATGCCCTTGAAAGAAAAATTCCATCGAAGATTCCTTATCAAGAGAGATAAGGCGAGAGATGTGCTAAGAGAGAGACTTGGAGATAGCAGCAACCACCCTCCCCCCATCATTTCCAGGGTCGTCCTGAGGAGGTCCTTGGTGAGTCAAGGAATATATATATATATATATATATATATATATATATATATATATATATATATATATATATATATATATATATATATATATATATATATATATATATATATATATTTATATATATATATATATATATATATATATATATATATATATATATATATATATATAAATATATATGTGTATATGTTTGAAAAGTTCGGAGACGGATTCTCAACTTTTCTCCAGCATGATATCCGGCAGTCACCCACAGCCTGACTGATCCAAGACTTGAATCTTCTTACCTCGTGGGACTGAATGACACTCACATGTTTGTGTCATTATATGCAAATACAATCCTGTATTAGTTATTATTATTTTATCATTATTATTACGATATAAACAGAAAATCGGACATTCACCCCACGGAATTTTGTAAGCCTAATCCTATGCCGGTTAATCGATTTCTTGTCTCTTCTAAGTGAGGTTCTTGGATGTTAATAAGTAAGTTTATTCCGGTATACATAAATACAGTTACACAGATTATCATACATAGCAGCATATGTGTAGAGAACCTAGGATAACCCAAAAAAGTCCATTATTTGAATTATTCAGTGAGGTAACACTGACGACTCATAGTGGAGTAAGGAACCATAATGGTGTCAACATTGTGCCCAGTTACTTGACATATATGTGTGAGTGTAGAGGCAACATAGTGATGTACGAGTGTGTGGTAACAACACTGTATCCACAGATACAGTCAAGAGTGTAACCTGGAGATGCTGGCTCGATGGGACTATATCACTGACGTTACTAACAAACTCAAGGAGGAAGCAGCGGTGAGTATCCACTCTTTATATTATTACGTTTTTGTGGGTAATAAAGGTTTGATCCCAATATCCTTGTTAAGCTCAGGTGGTTGAAGTTGATATTGCAGCGCCGAACGTGTGACCCTGATGTAGCCAGCTGACATTAATAATGTACATTGCCTCACCATTCTGAACACATATTTGTTGTTAAATATTTATATTGGTAACTGTAATGGTAGGTTTCTGTGAACTTTCAGCCAGAATGAGTCACATGACTTTTTTTTTTATCATAGATGAACTCGTGAGTAATTTTTAATGATAAGTAATCTGATTACATATTTCGGTGTTTATGCTCCAGTACCATTAGCACAGTATCTTGTCGTGAAATAGATTCGCTGTGGCTAATAACAACAAGTTTTTTTTATCAGGGGAGACGCCAGAAACCTTATAAATGCGGGGTTTAGGGGTCGTCATCTGGTTGTGGTAGGAGGAGGGGGCTGGGTGGGGACTTGGCTTATAACATTGTTCTTATTATTTTTGAGTTTTTTTTTTTTTGAGAGGCTGGTGGAATTATTAGGGGGCTTCAGCCCCCCTTGCCTTTTCCTTGATGCCGCCATTGGCTTTCGGAACACAAACAGAGGTTCCAAGCTTGTAAAACTCTGAAATCCTTCATTACTTTTACCATCATTACATTCCTACGCAGTTCTTCCCTTCTACTTCGATCTATCACATTCACATATAGCTGCTTCATGTCCAATTTCTACCTATTTCACGCCCCCCTATGCACCCTACACCCGGGATTTATACACCATCTTTATACACTATATTTTGCTCTATCTACATTATCAAAGCCTCTCAACATTTGTATTGTTCTGTTCTACGGTACCAAACTGGTTAGTTACTTTTTAGGCCTTAGGCCTATCGTCTACACGATTTCCATTAAAGATGCATGTCACCTGTACATCACTATTAAAGGACACTTCAATCCCTAAAATAAGGATAGTATAACCTCTCATCATATAAACATTTGAGAAATATAAACCTTTTGTTATATATAAACTTTTACCGTTGTTATTATATATTAATTTTCCCTAATTAGCATTTGTTCGAAGGCATTGTAAACTAGGCTCGTTTAGGCTTATCCTTTCATAATCTCTTTCGAATTTGGCGCTAGATTATTATTTTTTCCTCACATTTCTCCGAGCCTCGTTTGGTTTCAAAGGTACTTGTGATAACACGCTTCGAAGAAGCTCAGTCATTATTTATCTGTCCCGTAAGACTAGAGAACTGCTATGTCACTCGACACTTCATTCGACGGGACCCCAGCAGCGACCCTCTGGAATACCAGTCCTGGTGACCCTGAGATGAACGATACACCCCTGACTTACGTTGTGTAGCGTAACTTGTAATGCTGGCCGTGACGTGTGATGGGTGTGTGTATAAATGTCTTTAAACAAAATAGTTACACTCATAGTTTGAATGCAGACCTAGCTGGTTTATGACATAGATAACCATGTAAAACAAAAATATGAAAAGGTCTTGTAGTATCAAGAGCACTGTACAGTTGTGGTTACAAATGCTTGGGTTTGAGAAAGATCTGCCTAGTATTGGTCAATAGGCCTACTGCAGTATTCCTCATTTCTTATGTTTACAGAACGAGGCAGCAGTGATCTACATGACTTTCCAAGGTGAGGCGGCCGACGGCTGCGCAGAGTACGACTATAGCGGCTTTGTCAGCATGGAACTGTACCGTCGCTTCAGGTTCCTCTCCAAGAAGGGACCAGGAGCGCTACAACCAGACGAACTGTCAGAGGTAAGAAGTTGTAATATGCAAGAAATTCATTTTTTAATTCCTCTACTGCTTTATATTTTATCAAAGGGCGTATATGGAGATATTACGGCTATTAATGGCGTATTGGTCAGTAAAGACAAAAATGAGTTTAATATCTTTGTTTAGGTTTAAACTTCTGTTAACTGAAGCATAATTATTATATAATCTATAAGCGAATATTTATTAAGAAAAAGTAATAAAAATAAATCTTGCCACAAATTCTCTTAAATTATACAGTTAAAGTCAATTATAATTCATAGATTTATCTTCAACTCAATGAAACTAAATAAATTTCCCTTCACTTGGAATTTTTTTTTTTGGGGGGGAGAGAGTAACAGAACGTTGTTCTTCCCACAGTACAAAACCTTACAAGCGAATATGGAGACGATCTACAGTACAGCAACCATCTGTGACTACCATAACCAGACCAAGTGTGACCTGATCCTCGAGCCAGGTAAGTGTATTGATCAGGCAGGTATGGAGGTTAGCCGGGGATGAGCAGCAAGAAGGAGTTATCATATCCTCGTCAAATAGTTGCCTCATCCTACATAAGACATGCGTCGAGGAGTAGTTGATCCATCCTAGTTCAAGCCTGTGTCAAGTAGTTGATCCATCCTAGTTCAAGCCTGTGTCAAGTAGTTGATCCATACTAGTTCAAGCCTGTGTCAAGTAGTTGATCCATCCTAGTTCAAGCCTGTGTCAAGTAGTTGATCCATCCTAGTTCAAGCCTGTGTCAAGTAGTTGATCCATACTAGTTCAAGCCTGTGTCAAGTAGTTGATCCATACTAGTTCAAGCCTGTGTCAAGTAGTTGATCCATCCTAGTTCAAGCCTGTGTCAAGTAGTTGATCCATCCTAGTTCAAGCCTGTGCAAGTAGTTGATCCATACTAGTTCAAGCCTGTGTCAAGTAGTTGATCCATACTAGTTCAAGCCTGTTTTCAAGTAGTTGGGTCCATACTAGTTCAAGCCTGTGTCAAGTAGTTGATCCATCCTAGTTCAAGCCTGTGTCAAGTAGTTGATCCATCCTAGTTCAAGCCTGTGTCAAGTAGTTATCCATCCTATTCAAGCCTGTGTCAAGTAGTTGATCCATCCTATTCAAGCCTGTGTAAAGTAGTTGATCCATCCTAGTTAAAGCCTTTTCAAGTATTGACCATCCTAGTCAAGCCTGTGTCAAGTAGTTACCCCTTCCTAGTTCAAGCCTGTGTCAAGTAGTTGATCCATCCTAGTTCAAGCCTGTGTCAAGTAGTTGATCCTCCTAGTTCAAGCCTGTGTCAAGTAGTTGACCATCCTAGTTCAAGCCTGTGTCAAGAAAGTTGATCCATCCTAGTTCAAGCCTGTGTCAAGTAGTTGATCCATCCTAGTTCAAGCCTGTGTCAAGTAGTTGATCCATCCTAGTTCAAGCCTTGTCAAGTATTTGATCCATCCTAGTTTCAAGCCTGTGTCAAGTAGTTGATCCATCCTAGTTCAAGCCTGTGTCAAGTAGTTGATCCATCCTAGTTCAAGCCTGTGTCAAGTAGTTGATCCATCCTAGTTCAAGCCTGTGTCAAGTAGTTAAATCCATCCTAGTTCAAGCCTGTGTCAAGTAGTTGATCCATCCTAGTTCAAGCCTGTGTCAAGTAGTTGATCCATCCTAGTTCAAGCCTGTGTCAAGTAGTTGATCCACCCCTATTTCCCAAGCCTGTGTCAAGTAGTTGATCCATCCTAGTTCAAGCCTGTGTCAAGTAGTTGATCCATCCTAGTTCAAGCCTGTGTCAAATAGTTGATCCATCCTAGTTCAAGCCTGGTCAAGTAGTTGATCCTTTCCTAGTTCAGGCCTGTGTCAAGTAGTTGATCCATCCTAGTTCAGGCCTGTGTCAAGTAGTTGATCCGCCCCTATTTTCAGGCCTGTGTCAAGTAGTTGATCCATCCTAGTTCAAGCCTGTGTCAAGTAGTTGATCCGTCCTAGTTCAGGCCTGTGTCAAGTAGTTGATCCATCCTAGTTCAAGCCTGTGTCAAGTAGTTGATCCATCCTAGTTCAGGCCTGGGGCCCAATAGTGATCCGTCCTAGTTCGGGCCCTGCGCAAGTAGTTGATCCATCCTATTCAAGCCTGTGTCAAGTAGCTGATCCGTTTCTAGTTCAGGCCTGCGTCAAGTAGTTGATCCATCCTAGTTCAAGCCTGTGTCAAGTAGTTGATCCGTCCTAGTTCAGGCCTGTGTCGAGGAATAGTTGACCCATCATAGTTAAGGCCCTTTGACAAGGGCCTTAATTATAGGACCTTTAGAAGAGATATTGTATACTCGTGAAAACTAATCATTATCTTTCTGTATGCTGGTAATGTGATTAATGACTCGTGTAATTTGTTAATTAATATTTTTATAGACTAAGAAAATATGACATGTTAAATAATTAGTGAATAACTAACGGTATTTCGCATAGGTTTCTGACAGTGGATAATTAGAAGTACACATCTGCATATATCGATCCACGTCTTGTAATCCATTTCTCTATAACGTATGTTTTACCGAAAGATACTGCTTGCTTATAAGGAACATATTGTACAGACATCAAAGGGGAATTACATAATTTTTGTGGCGTGCATTGGTACACACTCGATACACATGTCCCTGATTATGTGTCTCTCGTCTCCCACAGACATCGTCACGGTGATGGCATCATCAGAGGACTGGGATGAACTTCTCTACACCTGGGAGCAGTGGAGAGAGAATACAGGCAAGAAGATGAGGGAAGACTTCGTTAGGTTCGTCGAGCTTTCCAACGAGGCTGCTACTCTCGATGGTCAGTCCATGAATCAACAACCTTATTTTTTAAAAAAGGCACATAACAATGTGCTGGTATTCTACATAAAAATGACATAATGGGAATAAAAACGAGCCGTATTTTTCTTTCGTATTCCATCACATAGGGTTACGCAAAAGTGTCCAGTGCGTTAACCTGAGCTGGAACACCTCGGTACAGCAATGAGGATATCATCTAGCATTCCACTATGAGTTTATTAGGTATAGGAGCTTCAAGAGCTTCTTTCTAGTAGACCTGGAGTTACTGTTACTTAGGCATTACCATCTCAGAATAGCCTATCCAACACACATGAAAAAATGCAGTTAAGACATGGTCACAGAGCTCTCTGTCCGGAAGGAAATGGGATAAGGAAAACTATTAGCTTTTAGCGACCAAATCAGGTTTAGACACGTGAGAAAATACTAGACTATATTTATTTAGAAAACGTTTCGGTCCTGAGAACTTGAACACCTCTAACACGTTACAGATGATCAGGGTACCAGGAGAAACGTTTTCTTAATGTCTTCATCAATCCGTACTTGTCTTCTGTCTGTAGGTTTGATTTTATTACTTGGGCCAAGAGCCATTCCCAAAAATCATTTCCCCTTGAAGCGCCAATTGGTTTATCACTGCCAGGGTTCAGCGACACTGGGTCGTACTGGCTAAACGCCTACACCGTGGACGAGAGGGAGGCTGAAGAATGGACCGATGGGGCGACGCTAGACCAACAGCACTTCAGGATGATGGTCGATGCTGTATGGCAGGATGTAAGTTATTGAGGCCACTTACCTTTATAATCCCACCTAACCTCCTCCACCCACCTTTTTCCTATACTTCCATCCTTCTTCCTTCCCCATCTTAACAAAGGTCTGGTCGTACAATGCCAAAATGTAAGTTATTGCGAGTACTTGACTACATGTGTGTGGGTGTGTGTGTGGTTTGAAGGGTGAGGGACAGTAAGCTGTGATGGTGAAGATGTGGTGGTAAGAGGTGAGGGACAGTAAGCTTTGATGGTGAGGGTGCAGGTGAGTGTGATTTTGAGTGGCGTTGGTGATTACGGTGGTGAGAAATAGAAGATCCTCTATTCCACTCACGTATATTGCGGAGAACTCGACTTAACGTGCCTTTCCCAACAGGTATCCGAACGACTCTACAAGAAACTCCACGCCTACGTCAGAATGCGCCTGCAAGAGGTTTACCCGGGTAAAATCGACCCCACCGGACCCATCCCGTCCCACATTCTAGGTTGGTGTGATGTGTCTTGGTGATCTGCAAGTTTTTGGCAGCACATCTGACGAAAAACACTTCCCCTCGGAGACACATGTGCAGAACCACATAAAATCAACAAAACTAACACACCTCGCTCGTAAATTTATGATTACTTTTGCAAATGACTCTCACTTAATTTCCTAAGTTACTTGCTACTTGTTCCAGCCGCAGCAGTGTGACTTCTTATAGTTTATATAACCAGTACCTATGTAGGTGACACTTGCACCTACACATCATAGCGATAAGTAAGTCCTAGAGAGTTTCTTCTTCCTTTTTTTGAGGAGTTGAGTGCAGTTACAAACAAGCAATACAGCCTAGTGGACAGATGGACGAACCTGAAATTTTATGGTGCATTAATTGTTCTTAGCTGAGGTTAAACCTCCAAAATTAACAATTATCCAGCGGATGGTGTTTTGTCACTGTAGAAAACTGAGTTTATATAGTTTTAAGCTGAGCTGAAATGATTGTATTTCAGTCCTCAGCAAAATCGAACCGGCTGTATTTTAGAGCTCGGTGAAATAAATTCAAATATCTCTTAGTCATCTCTTTACTTCTTCAGGTGGCAAAATATATATGTAATGAAGTCTTTATTGGCACAATGTTTCACCCATGAGTGAGCTTTATTATCACTATTTATTGAGTTATTTCCTCAGATGAGGTAACCGCTGACTCCTGTTTTTTTTTCTATTACTGCAGGAGACATGTGGGCGCAGGACTGGTCGAACATCGCACGTCACGTTATGCCCTTCCCAGAGATGCCAACTTTCGACGTCACAGACAGCATGGTGGAGAATGTAAGGAGGTTTCAGACGTCTGATTATAAACGTTGAAGCATTTGAACTTCTTAAGCAATTTATTTTGTCTTGAGAGACTGTTTGCTTTCGAATTTCATAAATAATTCCAATAATTTTTAGTTGACCAGTAAAAAACAAATATATATCTGTATTTAGTTCTCTTTATTTCTCTTGGTAGTTATTTCGTTGTATATAATTAAAATAATCAGTATCAGTTAAAGATTTCATACACCATCTTGGTACACGATGATTATATTTGCATTCTTCGTTTTATTTTGTGTTACTTTAATAGGTCTAATCTGAATGGCAGGATTAGATCTTCCACTGTTTGAAGTCTTCTCCCAACAATTATAATCCTTCAACTTGAAATCATACTGAGATAATTCCCACGAAGCACAGGAATGGAACAGAAATGTGTTACACAGTGTTAAGGGAACCCAGACACAAATGCAAGAAGGTATATCTCTTCTTTTGGCCAGGGTTGGGACATAGATCGGATGTTTCATGCAGCAGAGGACTTCTTCAGGAGCATCGGCCTCTTCGACATGACGCAGACTTTCTGGGACAAGAGTGTAGTGAATCAGACCGCCTGGGGCAAGACTATGGTATGCCATGCCTCAGCGGAGGACTTCTGCCTGGGTCCAGAGGGCGAGGATTACAGGTACAGCAGAAAGGGTTATAATTTCAGGTACAGCAGGAGATGTTGTTATCTCAGGTGTAGTAGGAAGAGAAATGATTATAGGAAAGTGTGATTATACAGGAATAAATGTAATAAATGATTACACGAACAACAAAAGAGGGAGAGAGAGTAACGATTGAATATAGCCCAAGAAGGGTGGTGAATAAGGAGGGAAGGCAGGGCATGGAAGAGAGAAAATAGTTTTTGCTGGAAATATGCTGACGAATGCACTGCATCCATGGACACTATCTTTCATCATTGATGATTTGCTATGTATAATTATTTCAATCTGAAGGCTGATATCTCAAGCTTTAAAGATTAATCTGAAATATATCCTTCTCTGTAATTTTCTTTGTGATTATTTTACTACAGTAACTGAGGTTAAAATTTATTCTCTTCCGACTAAAAGGTTGTGTACACTAAATAGAACAAAAGATTCGGTAATTCTCTAGAGAACGTTATATCGTCTCCTGTAGGATTAAGATGTGTACAGAGGTAAACATGGTCGACCTGATCACCGTGCATCATGAGATGGGTCACATCGAGTACTTTATGGCTTACAAGAACCAGCCACTCGTCTTCAGGGACTCGGCCAATCCCGGTAGGTGAAATATATTTTTTTCGTTAGGTTCTGAATGATTTTGGCGAAATTATTGCATACACAAATTTTCACTTGTCCTATATGGCAAGATGAGCGTTGCTATTTAAGCCAAGATTGCAAGTTCTGCCTATTCGGCACGACAGTATTGCAGTGTCAGCTCTCATCCCTGGAGCAACTTGCTTCAGTAAAATACTTTCTGCTTCAAGGTTGTCGTTGTTTATACACGTTATGCTCTATTATTATGCTTTTTTTTTATTACCATATCTGCATGTTCCACCAAATTAGGGTGACTCAAAAATTAAAACACATTCGTAATCACTTGCTCTGATAGCATCTTTGTCAACAGTGCACGAACGCTGCAATTCAAATAATCCTCCGAACAGCAGTATCTAACTCCATCTTTCAGAGTGCTTCAACAATATATAATTTTTCTTAATGTTTCAGGTTTCCACGAAGCCATAGGTGACCTGATTGCTCTATCTATGTCAACGCCAAAGCATCTGGAGGACGTGCTTGGTCTCACTCCTACTCCTGCCAAGGTCTCCGACCCCAGATATACTGACGATGAGAAGCGGGACCTTAACTTCCTAATGAAGATGGCGCTGGAGAAGGTCAGAAAAGCTTTGGTTTAAAAATAAATCTTCGTTATACTCAGATTAATTCAAGCATAAACCTGTTTATTCGACTATCTACAATATTCTTGAAGATTGAGACACTTATGCAATAAAGATTCTCATCTGTTGCAAAAGTGTCTCAATCTTGAACTTGTCGGTTTTAAACCAGTTATCAAATACAATATTCTTGTGGTGACACCTCCCGTCAGTACTAAAGCTTTCTAGTCATACTTTCTCTGCTTCACTGTCCGCAGATCGCCTTTCTGCCTTTTGGTTACCTGATCGACATGTACCGGTGGGGAGTGTTTGACGGGTCTATCCCCATCGATGAATTGAACGCTGGTTGGTGGAACCTCAGGGAGTCATTGCAGGGTGTCACTCCTCCAGCAGGACAACGAGGGGAAGAGTTCTTCGATCCAGGAGCCAAGTACCATGTTCCAGCCAACGTCCCTACATCAGGTAGAGAGGTGCTCCAGCAGTTAAATATAAACAAACTGCATGTATTACAGTTATTCATAAATATGTTGTTGTCATAACAAGTATTTTGCTTAACCGATACATAACCCGCACATATGAGACTGAACCTCATGACGACGCTTCGATCCGATTTGTGTATTGTTCCAGTCACGATGTTGTTCCTTTTTTAATTTTTTTTATGGAATGCTTAACTGATACTAACTCTAATACAAATGAAATGTTTATTTCATGTCTTCCGACGAGCTGTAGCAGAATATGAGCAGGTTGTCTATTTTCATGAGTTTCCTACAGAGCTGAAACATTTGTCTCTAAACACTTCACTCTCCGGTAACCTCCTCAAACACTGCCGTCTGTCGCTTTGTTTACTTCTATGGTCGCCTCTCACCGCTATCCCATGTTTTTCTTAACGTTATTATGTATTTTACCACTAATGGGTAAGAGGCAGGGAGGGGGAGGGGATGGTCTCTTTCCCTTTCACCCATTACCACCCATCTCTCGCATTATCCCCATCTGTCACTTGTGTCTGCCATTTTCAACTTACCTTTGACAACTACCATTTTTCCCCCTCTAACTCACCCTGTTATCTGCTTCTCCTACCAGCATCTTGTAGTCTTTCTCTCTCTCTCTCTCTGACTCTCACTCCTTTTTTTTTAATCTCTACTTCTCTGCCCACCTGTTAACATTGTTTCTCTCCTTTCACAACTTCTCTTCAGATACTTCGTGAGCTTCATCGTACAGTTCCAGTTCCACGCTCGCCTGTGTGAGGCCGCCGGCCACACTGGTCCCCTCCACACCTGCGATATTTATAACAACACTGACGCGGGAGGCATCCTCAGGTTAGTTTCTTTCATGCTGCCTTTGTAGTCAGAGTTTCGTGTTTGTGTTCAGTACATGTATCAGGACAGTTAGTGCAAACATTCATACCACTAAATTATACATAAACTTCATTTATTTTGATGCAATTTTTACACATTTTGATGATTGTAAATTGAAGTAATATTTCAGTCGTGAATGTGCTGATGCTTAATAGGATTTTTTTTATCTGAGAGTAGTAGATTAATCTCATAAAATGAGCAACATTACGAATGAAGGTTCGTTAGAACCTTCGCTCATTGTAATACTCATTAGAACACCCACTAATTACAACCCTTAAATTTATATCTAGCAATTATTAGAACTCTCGGTGCTATATCAGTCAAGTAGTGATTTGGGTGGTAACAGAAACATCTTCCTCGTCCCACAGGTCCGCCCTGGAGAAGGGGTTCTCGGAGCCTTGGCCGAAAGTTCTCAGCGAGCTAGGGGGCTCGCAAAACATGGAATCTCAGCATATTATTAACTACTTCGAGCCCCTCCTGACGTACCTGGACCAGGAGCTGCTGGACGCCGACCAATGCATCGGTTGGGGAGGTGAGTGCCTTATCGTTGTGTAGGTCATTGGAACTTATCCCAACTCACCTCTTTGGAAGTTATCCCGACTTACATCGCTAAAATTATGCTCTAACATGCTTGTAAATATACTAGAATTAAGGTGGCATAAACACTAATTAATGAAAAGCGAGAGACGCTTGAACAGAAAAAATGCAACACATGTTAAACAAGGATCCGTATATATATATATATATATATATATATATATATATATATATATATATATATATATATATATATATATATATATATATATATATATATATATATATATATATTCTTGAAGAATATTTGAAATTATAGGTGGAAACTGCACATGAACAAATTAGGTTATTCAAACATTTTAATTTTTTTTATATATGCAGACGAGTGCTTCGCTCCAGTATCATTGGCGGATCGTTCAGTGATACCGAAGCAGGATCCCAGAGACAACGAGACGGCAGCAGGTCTGGCCATGAAAGAGATGAACACAGACATGACGAATCTAGTACAGAATGCAACACTGGTGGACTGGACCTACTACAATGACGTCACCACAGCTAACGCTGACGCCTCGGTCAGTATACTGCCTCCTGCTGCTACTCTTCACCCTTGCAACAAACAATAATCAACTTTATTTCTGTGTTGCATACAAAGCGTAGTTAGCATGCAGTGTTGTTAAGCTCAAAGATCGCCATTAGCATGTCCGTGTATTTCGGACAGACTTCATGGCAACTCTTCAGGAAAACATCTGCGTGGAGCTGAGCTTGCTACCATCTGCAGCTCATAAGACTGCCATCTCCACGAGCCCCTTTGAGGCGGGGTAGATGGCAGACCAGAGGCCTAGCTTCTCCCTACGAGCCCCGTGAGGGCGGGGAATGTGGCTAGGCCTGGGGACACTTGGTCCCAAAGATGAGGAGGTACTGTACCTCCTCCCATGGGAGACTTAAGTCTCGAGACACTCCCCAGATAGGGAGCCAAGGCCGGGTCACCACTACTTGGAAAAGACCCGGGCCGGGAGAATACCGGCGAATAAAAAAAAAAAAAAAATCTGCCTGGAGTAATAAGACCGAGGAATTCCTTATTTTTTTATATGTATATTTATGTGTATGTGTGTGGTTATCCGGCTGTAATTAGCTATTTAATTTTGGAGTTCAGTATTACAGCTCTTGGGCCCACCTTATAACTTTTTTCTCTACCGCTCATAACTTTGTTGCTGAATATATGGTTTCTTTCACTTGTGCACTCTCTGTCT